TTTATTCCGGGTCAATTTTTGGCAAATTGCAAAGGGGTACCCATCACAGATTTTGGGCAATTTTTCCGAAATGTCATTTTCTTTCGATTCTGGAGGCTACAGATCACGGAATCAGGCCGAGGCTATTCTCCACGGATAATGAAGTCTATTGATCCTATTCTCCACGAATGATAAGTCCATTAAGCACCGATTTGGGCCAATTTAATCTCGGATGGCATTTTCGTATTTTTGTGGGAGTCGACAAGGCATTTTCTTTTGATTTTAAAGGCTACAGATCACGGATTAAGCCTGATACTATTCTTCAACGATGATTAAGTCCATTAAGCACCGATTTGGGCGGATTTATTCCGGGTCATTTTTTGGCAGATTGCAAAGGGGTACCATCATAGATTTTGGGCGATTTTTCCGAAATGTCATTTTCTTTCGATTCTGGAGGCTACAGATCACGCAATCAGGCCGAGGCTATTCTCCATGGATAATGAAGACTATTGATCCTATTCTCCACGAATGATAAGTCCATTAAGCACCGATTTGGGCCAATTTATTCTCGGATGGCATTTTCGTAATTTTGTGGGAGTCGACAGGGCATTTTCTTTGGATTTTGAAGGCTACAGATCACGGAGTAGGCCTGAGACTATTCTTCAACGATGATTAAGTCCATTAAACACCGATTTGGGCGGATTTATTCCGGGTCAATTTTTTGCAGATTGCAAAGGGGTACCATCACAGATTTTGGGCGATTTTTCCGAAATGTCATTTTCTTTCGATTCTGGAGGCTACAGATCACGGAATCAGGCCGAGGCTATTCTCCGCGGAAAATGAAGTCTATTGATCCTATTCTCCACGAATGATAAGTCCATTAAGCACCGATTTGGGCCAATTTATTCTCGGATGGCATTTTCGTAATTTTGTGGGAGTCGACAGGGCATTTTCTTTTGATTTTAAAAGCTATATATCACGGATTCTCCCTGAGACTATTCTTCAACGATGATTAAGTCCATTAAGCACCGATTTGGGCGGATTTATTCCGGGTCAATTTATGGCAGATTGCAAAGGGGTACCCATCACAGATTTTGGGCAATTTTTCCGAAATGTCATTTTCTTTCGATTCTGGAGGCTACACATCACGGAATCAGGCCGAGGCTATTCTCTGCGGATAATGAAGTCTATTGATCCTATTCTCCACGAATGATAAGTCCATTAAGCACCGATTTGGGCCAATTTATTCTTGGATGGCATTTTCGTAATTTTGTGGGAGTCGACATGGCATTTTCTTTTGATTTTAAAGGCTACAGATCACGGATTCGGCCTGAGACTTTTCTTCAACGATGATTAAGTCCATTAAGCACCGATTTGGGCGGATTTATTCCGGGTCAATTTTTGGCAAATTGCAAAGGGGTACCATCACAGATTTTGGGCGATTTTTCTGAAATGTCATTTTCTTTCGATTCTGGAGGCTACAGATCACGGAATCAGGCCGAGGCTATTCTCCATGGATAATGAAGTCTATTGATCCTATTCTCCACGAATGATAAGTCCATTAAGCACCGATTTGGGCCAATTTATTCTCGGATGGCATTTTCGTAATTTTGTGGGAGTCGACAGGGCATTTTCTTTGGATTTTGAAGGCTACATATCACGGATTCGGCCTGAGACTATTCTTCAACGACGATTAAGTCCATTAAGCACCGATTTGGGCCGATTTATTCCGGGTCAATTTTTGGCAGATTGCAAAGGGGTACCCATCACAGATTTTGGGCGATTTTTCCGAAATGTCATTTTCTTTCGATTCTGGAGGCTACAGATCACGGAATCAGGCCGAGGCTATTCTCTGCGGATAATGAAGTCTATTGATCCTATTCTCCACGAATGATAAGTCCATTAAGCACCGATTTGGGCCAATTTATTCTCGGATGGCATTTTCGTAATTTTGTGGGAGTCGACAGGGCATTTTCTATGGATTTTGAAGGCTACATATCACGGATTCGGCCTGAGACTATTCTTCAACGACGATTAAGTCCATTAAGCACCGATTTGGGCCGATTTATTTCGGGTCAATTTTTGGCATATTGCAAAGGGGTACCCATCACAGATTTTGGGCAAGTTTTCCGAAATGTCATTTTCTTTTGATTCTGGAGGCTACAGATCACGGAATCAGGCCGAGGCTATTCTCTGCGGATAATGAAGTCTATTGATCCTATTCTCCACGAATGATAAGTCCATTAAGCACCGATTTGGGGCAATTTATTCTCGGATGGCATTTTCGTAATTTTGTGGGAGTCGACAGGGCATTTTCTTTTGATTTTAAAGGCTACATATCACGGATTCGGCCTGAGACTATTCTTCAACGATGATTAAGTCCATTAAGCACCGATTTGGGCCAATTTATTCTTGGATGGCATTTTCGTAATTTTGTGGGAGTCGACAGGGCATTTTCTTTTGATTTTAAAGGCTACAGATCACGGATTCGGCCTGAGACTTTTCTTCAACGATGATTAAGTCCATTAAGCACCGATTTGGGCGGATTTATTCCGGGTCAATTTTTGGCAAATTGCAAAGGGGTACCATCACAGATTTTGGGCGATTTTTCCGAAATGTCATTTTCTTTCGATTCTGGAGGCTACAGATCACGGAATCAGGCCGAGGCTATTCTCCATGGATAATGAAGTCTATTGATCCTATTCTCCACGAATGATAAGTCCATTAAGCACCGATTTGGGCCAATTTATTCTCGGATGGCATTTTCGTAATTTTGTGGGAGTCGACAGGGCATTTTCTTTGGATTTTGAAGGCTACATATCACGGATTCGGCCTGAGACTATTCTTCAACGACGATTAAGTCCATTAAGCACCGATTTGGGCCGATTTATTCCGGGTCAATTTTTGGCAGATTGCAAAGGGGTACCCATCACAGATTTTGGGCGATTTTTCCGAAATGTCATTTTCTTTCGATTCTGGAGGCTACAGATCACGGAATCAGGCCGAGGCTATTCTCTGCGGATAATGAAGTCTATTGATCCTATTCTCCACGAATGATAAGTCCATTAAGCACCGATTTGGGCCAATTTATTCTCGGATGGCATTTTCGTAATTTTGTGGGAGTCGACAGGGCATTTTCTTTGGATTTTGAAGGCTACATATCACGGATTCGGCCTGAGACTATTCTTCAACGACGATTAAGTCCATTAAGCACCGATTTGGGCCGATTTATTTCGGGTCAATTTTTGGCATATTGCAAAGGGGTACCCATCACAGATTTTGGGCAAGTTTTCCGAAATGTCATTTTCTTTTGATTCTGGAGGCTACAGATCACGGAATCAGGCCGAGGCTATTCTCTGCGGATAATGAAGTCTATTGATCCTATTCTCCACGAATGATAAGTCCATTAAGCACCGATTTGGGGCAATTTATTCTCGGATGGCATTTTCGTAATTTTGTGGGAGTCGACAGGGCATTTTCTTTTGATTTTAAAGGCTACATATCACGGATTCGGCCTGAGACTATTCTTCAACGATGATTAAGTCCATTAAGCACCGATTTAGGCGAATTTATTCTGGGTCAATTTTTGGCAAATTGCAAAGGGGTACCCATCACAGATTTTGGGCAATTTTTCCGAAATGTCATTTTCTTTCGATTCTGGAGGCTACAGATCACGCAATCAGGCCGAGGCTATTCTCCATGGATAATGAAGACTATTGATCCTATTCTCCACGAATGATAAGTCCATTAAGCACCGATTTGGGCCAATTTATTCTCGGATGGCATTTTCGTAATTTTGTGGGAGTCGACAGGGCATTTTCTTTGGATTTTGAAGGCTACATATCACGGATTCGGCCTGAGACTATTCTTCAACGACGATTAAGTCCATTAAGCACCGATTTGGGCCGATTTATTCCGGGTCAATTTTTGGCAGATTGCAAAGGGGTACCCATCACAGATTTTGGGCGATTTTTCCGAAATGTCATTTTCTTTCGATTCTGGAGGCTACAGATCACG